ACCAATAGTCAAGACTGAGCGAAACAACGAAGCCCTTATCAACAGCACCCCGTGGGGAGGATCTCCACAAGGGGGATATAATACAATTTATACAGATACAATTTTAGCCCCATGGCTGAAGAAAGGTCCGAGCCTTCGCGTCTGTCAAGAAAGAACTCAAATGCTTGGCCCACTACAGCTCTCCCAACTGTTTTATATCGATCCCAAACGTAAGAGACGCTTTAGGACAAAAGTGACAATGTATAACGTTGTCTTTCAACGTTTATAATTAAAGAGAGATTAGTGTAAATAGTTCATAGATTTCTGGAATTAACGTTGACGATCTTCCCATGGTTTCAAACCCTGTCTTGCACGCCGCTATCTTGTATCGCCATTTTTTAAAATGCAAATGGGAGAATAGGACAGAATTGTGCGAAAAGTCTCGTAGAGGAGTGGAATCAACTAGTCGATCTTCCTTAATCGTAATGATCCAAAAATTTCTTTCTACTTTTGGAGATTTGGAGAAGTAGTCGCAGAGAAAAACTTATAATAACGGAGATTTGTGGAATCTTCACTTCGTCGCCATCGAGGTGTCTCGAATAGTCTGGAAACCTGGATAATCGGAAACTCTTTTATCCCTTCGCGTTTTACAACGCGAATGGCAGAAAGAGAGGAAGAGGAAAACGCAGTTACACTTCCGGCTTAAAATCGCTTCACGATTTCGTCACCGCCGACTCATCTCGAATATTTCAGCGACGCGGTGTCTGCCGTTTAATTTTTCGAATTTCGAGTAGCAGAAGAAAGAGACAAAGCTATTTTAAGATCGACTGTAATTTTGAAATCGCGATGGATGTGTCTCATATGGATAACAGAATCCCGATATCCGGAAACGTGGAATGCTCCTTCGCTTCTAAAATTCACGCTGAAGAAGAGAAAAGAGGAAATGCAATTACGATAGCCGGAAACGTCACTTTTGTTCGTGGATTCCCGGGGAAGAAGAGGAAAAAGAAAGTGGTAAAAAGGGAGAGTAAATTTAAGGATTTCACTTTTCGGCGATTGACGACGCAATTAAGCCATGGCAAATTATACGTCGCGGAGGTGCTTTCTCCTCGAACCCGGGAGATGGTTAATTGCCTGCTTGTACGTTCTCCGAGTGTCCCCGAAATCGTAATTACGCGTGACATTTTAATACACGGACATATTCGGCGCACATGGGGCTGCTGCTGGAGTCTGTGTCAAGGTGGATCGAAAATCGATAACCCACAGTTCCCCGATGGTTCTAGCCTCCGTCTTCGCGTTCGAAGGCTTGCATGACTGGCGTTTGGAGAAACAAAAATGTCGTCATCATGGTGTGTGACTGGTTGATGATTCAGACTGGAGAAAAAGGCAGCTGCGCTAGAGGATTCCGCGTTCCTCGCGTTACCGAGTAAGAGGAGCGCAGGAACGGGCGTCCAACCTCTGTACGCGTCCAGGTACAGAGGCTGGATCTAGGGAGAGGAGGTTCGTGGACTTTCCACGACCAGTTGGCCAAGGAGCATTAACGAAGAGGAGAGCCGAGACGCGAGGAATGTCGAGCAGCCCCGAATCTTAGTGTGGGTTGCGCTTTAATCAAAACGGGTGACGCTAATACCGACTGGAGAAGTCGTTCCACCGGCGGCACGGTTCATGGCTGCTATGTCAAGGTCGCGGCAATCTCTCGGCTTTATCTAACGAACCTAGCTCGATTAGCGTTTGCGCGCCTTCGCTGCTCGTTCATTGAAAATGCTGGCATAAAAGTGTCGGCACTTTCACCTCGTGAGTCAACCGCGGTCTCGTAACCGTGTGCACCAGTGTGCGTTACGAATGTCAATTTCGATCTCGATACATCGTACTGGTTAATTGAGAGATAAGAATGAGTTACGGGCCGTTGGCACTTCGCGTGCACCATAAACAAATGTACGCGAAATCGTTTCGTCGAAGGCTAGTGAGTTTTTAACCCTTGAGTATACTTCGAGGTCTTTGGTTAAATAACGTACGGTAATTTAATGGAATTTATGCGAATGTACTTGTTCCATAGTCTACGATATCGTGTCAAAAGTTTGGTTCATAGATCGCCGTGGTAGCGTGACGATAAGGATAATTACGCTCCTGGTGTTGGGGTCCCCCCGGTCCCATCGCGAAAGGAATCGAGGCGCGGTAAAAAGCAAGCTTTTTAGAGCAGCACCGGTAAATCGGCGAAACGTGAATGGACACTGTAAAATCGCCAGAGTGTGCTCGTAGCGATGCAAGAGAAAGTTAATTTTTATCATTGACATAGAAAATCGGGTACTACGCGGAATTCAGTCGGTTCTGCTTCATCGACGCTACCCGCGCACTTCCTTAATCCCCTAATAGCGTCGAACCTGAACACTGCCAATTTCCTACGACTCCCTGCGATCGTTTTAGCCTCGGAAACCGCGAGTGCATGTACACTCTAGGGTTAACCTTTGCCGATGCCTCCGCGCTACAATCCGTCCCCACCACGAGCTGGGATAACGATCGACAGAAATCCCGGAAACACTTCGATAAACGTAGCCCGGCTACGCCACCCTTTGGAGCACCGGATGCCGCGCGAAGGTTTAAAGGTCACGCTCGGGAAGCGTCCCTTTACCCTGGACGACGCTGCTGGCATTTCCGGGTCGCCGTGACACTCGTGACGTTCCTGTCAACTGCCTCGTGCATTGTGCAACGTCGAGGATGACGATGACGATGGCTAGAGGACGCAAACACGCGGATGCAGAGGTCGCGGCGCACGAGGGGATTTAAAAGGTCCCCGTAAAAGGTGTAACGCGAGCCGTAACGATACCTTAACGAGAACCGGCAGCGTTAATTTCGCCCGACAACCTTGCACATCCCGCGGCGCTGCACGCGGACCCGACGTGGTCGTCAGCTGTGCGAAGGTCAGGGTCGTCCGGCAGCCGAGGGTGCAATCGATGCACGATACCGCCGCTCCTGCACCCCTCGCTGGCTGCAGTTACCATGGAGACCATCTCCTGACCCATTGCTACACAGAGAGAGAGAGAGAGAAGCCCGTCGACACTCGGAGGCTGCATCGGCTGTCCGTCTCTGGGTGAGCGTGTGTCGCAGACGAGCAGACTAGGCCTACACGGACACACGCTGCTGCAACCGGGGTGTGGAGGTGCAGAGGGACACTCTGGTGACACTGACGAGCGTGCGACGAGCTTGCATGTGACCCGGCTAGCTCCTCGCCCTTTTCTTCCCCGCCGGGCCGGGAAAATCGGTCAGGAAGCCAAGTACTCTGTCCTCCGAGTGCGTCCCGTCAACGAGCTTCGTCCGGAATTTCTCCAGCCGCACCAACGGCCTCGCCGGCTTCCGTTCGGTCATCTCTGAGGCTACCCCTTGTGCCGTGACCTTGCACCGTGGGATTGGAAGCTGGAACTCGGGGTGGAAAGTGAAAAGCGTGGAAAAAGTGCTTGGGTGTGCGATTCGTAGATCGGATCGGAGTGACATCGCGTGCATACGAGTTTACGTTAGCCGAGGAGGGTCTGTTCGATTGGACATACGCAAATGCACTCCTGAGGACTCGACAAGGTGACGTAACCCGGATGAGAAAGGAAAGAAAGAGGAGGAAAGGCGTGTTCGTTGTGCGAGCGACGAAATCGAGGCTGGAAAGTTGGCAGAGGAACCGGTCGCGCGCGTGGATATGGTAACGAGGTATTGTGCAAGGTCGGTATGAACGGAGACTAAGGTCAGCTGGTACAGATCGATATCCCCGAATTGTCTCGGCATAGTTGCCTCGTACGCGTTTCTCTTGCGATCAGTGGTGCTCTGGGGGGCGGCGGAAGTGGAGGACGCGTGGAGGATCGAGAGAGTCGGGCGAAGGTGGTAAACGAGACGGGGAAAAGATGGATGGCTGGAAGAGGTGGAGAAGGGCGGAGAATTCGTTGCTCACGGCGTGGTATCAGCGGGTCACCGAATCTTACGTGGCGACATGGTTCTTCGGGGTGTTTCAGAGCAGCAGGATGTCGACGAGCACCGCCACCGGAGGTGGAGGCGGCGGCGGGGGTGGTGGCGGGGGTGGTGGCGGGGGTGGTGGCGGGGGTGGTGGCGGGGGTGGTGGCGGGGGTGGTGGCGGGGGTGGTGGCGGGGGTGGTGGCGGGGGTGGTGGCGGGGGTGGTGGCGGGGGTGGTGGCGGGGGTGGTGGCGGGGGTGGTGGCGGGGGTGGTGGCGGGGGTGGTGGCGGGGGTGGTGGCGGGGGTGGTGGCGGGGGTGGTGGCGGGGGTGGTGGCGGGGGTGGTGGCGGGGGTGGTGGCGGGGGTGGTGGCGGGGGTGGTGGCGGGGGTGGTGGCGGGGGTGGTGGCGGGGGTGGTGGCGGGGGTGGTGGCGGGGGTGGTGGCGGGGGTGGTGGCGGGGGTGGTGGCGGGGGTGGTGGCGGGGGTGGTGGCGGGGGTGGTGGCGGGGGTGGTGGCGGGGGTGGTGGCGGGGGTGGTGGCGGGGGTGGTGGCGGGGGTGGTGGCGGGGGTGGTGGCGGGGGTGGTGGCGGGGGTGGTGGCGGGGGTGGTGGCGGGGGTGGTGGCGGGGGTGGTGGCGGGGGTGGTGGCGGGGGTGGTGGCGGGGGTGGTGGCGGGGGTGGTGGCGGGGGTGGTGGCGGGGGTGGTGGCGGGGGTGGTGGCGGGGGTGGTGGCGGGGGTGGTGGCGGGGGTGGTGGCGGGGGTGGTGGCGGGGGTGGTGGCGGGGGTGGTGGCGGGGGTGGTGGCGGGGGTGGTGGCGGGGGTGGTGGCGGGGGTGGTGGCGGGGGTGGTGGCGGGGGTGGTGGCGGGGGTGGTGGCGGGGGTGGTGGCGGGGGTGGTGGCGGGGGTGGTGGCGGGGGTGGTGGCGGGGGTGGTGGCGGGGGTGGTGGCGGGGGTGGTGGCGGGGGTGGTGGCGGGGGTGGTGGCGGGGGTGGTGGCGGGGGTGGTGGCGGGGGTGGTGGCGGGGGTGGTGGCGGGGGTGGTGGCGGGGGTGGTGGCGGGGGTGGTGGCGGGGGGGGTGGCAGTGGCGGGGGAGGGGGAGGTGTCGGGGGGGCTCTGACATTGATGGGCTGCGTCAGGGAAGCGTCACCCCCGCCGCAGAATCATCAGAATCAACATCATCGGACGCTTGGCCTTGGCGAGTACTCTGCTCAGAACAGCGTCGATCCGCTTCCAAAAGGTTCGTTTATTTATTTATTTATTTATTTATTTATTTGTGCGTGACGTTTAAAACGAGTACTCGGGTATTGGATATTTATCAATGGGAATGCGAGAGTGGTCCAGATCGCCAAAAACGTTTTGATGTTGGAAATGTATAGAATTTTAATTACATATACTCATAAGTTTAAAGTAAATTATGGCATTCGTTAGGATTGCTATAGTTACCTAGAATTTTCTTTAGTAGCTTAGAATATGGGAAGAAGTGCCTATTTTCTGCTGAAATTAGTATACTTGGCTGTACTATATTTTTATATCGATAAAGCATAACTTTTTAACTATATATATGTAAAAATAATTAGCTAGGTATTAATATTGTAACCCTGCAGAAAGAGGTCTCACTGAATCCACATTTTTCCTCGTTCCTGCCTCTATAGTTAGATCTATAAAATCAAAGTCACGCGAAGTCACGTAAAGATTAATAGCGGATTCGTTTATTTATCTGTTCCCCTTGCTTATTCAATCTGACGTTTAAATCAATTATTCCGCTATTGATTATTCATCGAGGAGAAAGTGAGAATGCAAGGCTAATTTCGAAATGCCTGGCTAGAATGTCTCGAGGGGTGAGTTTCGAAATTCTTATACTGTGCGATAGCGATCGATCTTCGTTTATTTGATACGAGGTTTAAATAAATTATTTTCGTGTCGAATATTTTTCGATAGTAGAAATGCAAGGTTAGCTTCGAAATTCTTGGATTGCACGTCGTGTCGCAGAGGAGGGGGTTGATCTATGGTCGTAGAATTTTGATGAACCGGAGCACAGCAACAGATACGTATTTCATACGAGAGATCAAAGTAATCCTGGTGCTCGGTGTAGATAATATAGACAGATATATCCATATATGTATTCATTCCTTTTGTTCACTCGACATATCACTGGACATCTCTATTTCCATCTAGAATTTAATCCAGGGTAGACAAATTTCGATAGATCGAACCATCGCAACGACGTTGCACCCTAAAATAATTCGCGTGCTCGCACTTAGCAAATATTTTTATTTATTTCTCTCGGGACTTAGCAAATATTTTTATTTATCTTTCTCGGGACGTTTAAACCTATTTTTCTTACGATAAAATATTCCTCTGTGGCAAAGCGAAGGTGCACGAGTGCATCTCGAGATTCTCGTGCGAAAAATCCCGCGGTAGAGATCGATGCTGCGCGGAAAAATCTCGATAGATCGAAGGAGCATCGCGTGGTGTATTTCGCAGGAGAGATTAAAGTAAAATCGCATGCTCACGGCGACGGTCTAGACGGGCAGAGCATTTGGAAAACGACGTTTCGCTCGAGGATCGCGTTTTCAAGGTCTCAGACGTGGATTACAACGTCGCGGCGAAACGAGCCGTGCTATGAAAAACGGATTTACGTAAACTGCACATTCTCCGCGAGTCGCTCGTCTATCCTATCGATTCCGCAATTTATGCGCAATTTATCCGCGGGAACGCGAGCGTCGTTTATTTAGACCGTTTTGTCCCCGTTTCACGGCAAAGAGTATCGCTGTACAGGCCGTTTCAAAATACGGGGCCCACAGTGATGGACACGGTACCCAAAAATGAGAAGCAAAACATAAACGTATCAAGTATAGTACCGATATAAGCTAGTTTCCCAGTTACACTCGTTTTCGTCTTATGATAAATCTCATTACTCTCGGATGCTGGTAAAAGACATGTAAAACTTGGTAACGTTCATATAATAATTAACACAAGCATAAGTATCTTCAGGGATACCGATACGAACGTGTACATTTGGTTTTTTAAAAATTGTGATTATTATAAGTGAAAAAGAAATTAAAATCAGTTGGAGAACTATTAACCCTTTGCACTCGAGAGGAGTCTCTCAGTCGCCATTTAATCCGATTCTAAGGATGGATGTTAATTAATATATCAAATTTGCAATTATCCAACGATGCGTGGAATATCAAAGTAAAATAATTCTGCGTCTTAATTTGCATACGATTTCTTATTTGCTATTACTCTTCGAATTACTATTTTCCAGTAACGAAAAAATCGCCGAGTGCAAAGGGTTAAACAATTACCCTCGTCGAATATCACTGCTAATACCGGCGTAGCCTATTTTATAAATCATCGTTTTCAAATCATTATAATGCTAACTTAAAAATTTAATCGACACGAATTAAGTTGCAATTTTAAAAAAAGAAACATTAGAAAAATGATTCGACTGACAATTTTCTTCAATCATTTATAAGCTTCTCGTCTTAGGCACGATCGTGTGCTATGTTCTTAGCAACGGCTGACATGTCCTAACTAGCGAGCAATTCCATGATCAGACGTTCGAAAGTCTGCATTCGAGGGTAACCATCTCGAACAATTTCTACGAACCAGGCAAGAGTACTTCGAAAACGATCGAGAAGCAACAGGGAAACAAAATGGCGTCGGTCGTAACTCTGTAAGAACTTTTCCACCCGGATTTTTGCGTATCTAATCCATCCCCGGAGTTACAGCCACACCTTTCGAAGCAGCCTGCATATTCGTGAAAAAAAAGCGGTTTACAAGCAATTATCCCGGCATTACACGTATACGTAGATACACGACGATGATCGATCGCGTGCAAGGCTTCTCGGCCGGGTTTAGAAAACGGGCGAAAAGTTTGTGCAAGAGCCGGAGGGATTAAGGTGAAAGTTTCCGGTAGGCGATTTCTGGTTCCGTTGAACGGTTGGGCGTGCTACGAGAAGGAGAATAATGGCCGCGGTTGCGACGAGTTATTAAAGGGTAATCCAGCGGAGTGCCCTTTATTCATTGTCGTCGGAGGAACGTGACTTCGTTGCCGTTACTCCGGGACGTTGCGTTTCCAAGAGGGTCCAACGACCTCTTTATTTTCATTAGCCTCCGGTAGATTACGAGGCTCCGGGGTAGATTAGCTCTTAAGTTAATATCTCAATCGGCCGCGTGATTACCGATTAGCTTAAACTGCGTTTTCGAGACACTGCTGGCTCGTTCGTTACGAAAACGGGTCGCTTTCCCGTCGCCATCTTCGTTCCTCCATTCCGGTGCCCTCTTCCATCCTCGAGTTTCGGGCATCCTGCTGTTCAGACGAGTTTTCATTTCACGAATCGGGTTTAACCCTTTGCGCTCGACGATTTTTTGTCTGAAGAGGGGTACGAGTTGACAAATTTTCTTCCATAAGGCTGATGATATTTTTTCAGCAGTAAATAAGAAATCGTATAACAATTAACACGTAGAATTATTCAATTTCGATACCTCGCACACTGCTACCTTATTTTAAATTTGATATATTTAAAATAAAATATAACACCCTTTGACTATTAAGTACTAATCCTACTTAATAAGATTACTAATCCTACCTCGGGCCGTTGGCACCATAAACAAATGTACGCGAAATCGTTTTGTCGAAGGCTAGTGAGTTTTTAACCATACTTCCACCTTTGACTACGGCAGACTTTGAAACTTATCGGTCATACCACACGAGTAGGAATTCATTTACAATGTCCACCGAGAACGGCAAAATTTTGGGTAGTGATGCGCCCTCCGTGTCAAAAAAGCGAACTGTGTTGAGCGCTTATATGCGCCTTCCGTGTCAAAATCAAAAGCAAATTTTCTGAGCGCGTATATGCGCCTTCCGTGTCAAAATCAAAAGCAAAATTTCTGATATATGCGCCCACAGTAGCCAAAGGTCAATATCGAACTTTGAAATTTTATCAAATGGTGACCTAAAGGCACCTCTCGAGTGCAAAGGGTTAACCCTTTGCTATCTGCCATTTTAACTTGGCTCTCAAAATCGTTAGCCTCTATCCATTTGTCACGCTAGCATGATATTTATTTCGCGTGCATATCATTTACAATCCCCCTCTAACCATCTGTGTGAATTTTTGTAACCTACTTTTTCGGGAATTTTTTGATCTCATATACCCAGTGCGTTGTGTATATTGCGAAAGAAGCTTGTAATCGGTCTTGGTTTACCGAGAAACCGGTACGATTCTCCGATAGTCATAAGATTATACATCATATAATTAGTTGCTCCAATTATATGATGTAAGGATGCCAGTTATGGCTAGAGAAAATCTCTTAAACGCCGGAGAAAATGTTTTATATTATATAAAAGGATGAGAGAAACAAACAATGAGACATCACTGGCAATAAATTAATCCTTCGCACTCGAGAGGCGCCTCTCAGTCGCCATTTAATCAGATTCTAAAGATGGATATTAATTAATATATCAAATTTACAATTATCCAACGATGCGTGGAATATCGAAGTAAAATAATTCTACGTCCTAAATTGCATACGATTTCTTATTTATCGTTTTAAAAATATCGTTTAAAAATAGACTTTATGGCAAAAAGTTTTCGAATTACTCAGGGCCGGCGCTAGGCAGGTTCAACGCGTTCACCGGAACCCAACTCCGCGGTCTACGAAAACTCATCAGACATTTTGCAGAACCCTCTGTATAGTAGATAGAATATTAGGGTGTGTGTAGAAAATACAATCGCATAATCCATTAATCGATTATGGATTAATTCGATATGGTACAGCTTGTATACCGACATAAGTGCAAGATTTTCTCTCCCATCTTTGCATTGAAATATTTCGTTGCAGCGTGTTCTAAACGTTGACATCAAAGGTTGATACAACTCACACAGGTGCGGAAGGTATTAGATATTAAGGAAATCATCCAATTAGAAAACACCGATTTCGATTAACTTTTTACAGAATGATCATACCATATCGGATTTAAATATGTATTCCGGTTCCGCAAAATTTTTTAAGCCGGCCCTGGAATTACTATTTTCCTGTAACGAAAAAATTTGCCTAGTGCAAAGGGTTAAGCATGGAAAAATAATTTTTAAATCTATATTTGGTTCGATTCATAGTCCCACCAGAGTATTGTAAACAAGAATGGTCAATACCGATACGTATCACCGAAAATCGAGATAAATACCGGTATTACCATTTGTCGAGTCCGAGAACCGGTCTTCAGTTGTTCTT